TTTTCACTGTGTTTTATCAAGAACCATGAAGTATTTTAGCGTGACTCTTCTTGTGGCACTGGGTAAGTGATACAGACACTTTTACAATTTAATGTTTCTCATTAACTATGCAAGTGGTTTCTTTGCAACAGAAATTGATAATCTCGAAATAATTCCTACTGTTTATTGTGTTTCAGCTGCAATGGTGTGTGTGTCTATAGTTGAATGTCATGGACATGGGCACGGTCACGGTCATCATGGGCACGGACACGGACATGGTCACGGGCACCATGGACATGGTCACGGTCACCATGGACACGGACATGGTCACCATGGACACGGGCATGGACATGGTCACCATGGACACGGACACGGTCATGGTCACCATGGACACGGTCACCATGGACACGGGCACGGACATGGTCACCATGGACACGGACACGGGCATGGTCACGGTCATCATGGTCACGGACATGGTCACCATGGACACGGGCATGGTCACGGTCATCATGGACACGGGCACGGTCACGGTCACGGACACGGGCACCATGGTTGAGAGAGAACTGTCGAGCGTCTTGGTATCGGTCAATTTGTAGCAATATTTATAATAAACCAAATATACATCGCTATTTGTCTTCCTTGATGTTTTTCAATCTGATATATCAGGTAAACTTTACCAACAGGTGCACGACACGATCGTAGTGTATCCAACGTTTGCCCCTAAAAATGACGCCTTATAAAGCTGGACGTTTCCGATTGTATACGTTAGGGTTGTTAGGCGTTCTTTGGGTGGGTCAGAATGGTAAATTTGCTCAGCTTACTGTTTTCAGACATTTCTCTTAAAGATGCAACCCACCAAATTTGCGCAAATCGTTTATGTGACAACATGTCTAGGTGTTTAGAACCTGATAAAACAATATTTCTATCATATACGTTCTAGAACCAAATGTTTGCTTGATCCCTCATTAATACCATGGAAGGCGATGTCGGGTGAGTCTCCTCCTCCAGTTCTGACCATCTGGTCCATTTATGCCAAGTGTAGCTGGTTGGGCATATATGTTCTCAATCATAATGGAACTGTAGACCTAGTCTGATACAAGGACAAATATGGTTATTCTAAAAAGTGTCTAGTGTCTAGCTGCCGAAACAGAAACGGATTTGTGCATCAATTCAGATTGGCAGACAAGTACAAGAGTGAGTGAGTTTAGTTTTACGCCGCACTCAGCAATATTCCAGCTATATGGCGGCGGCCTGTAAATGACAAGTACAAGACATCACCTGACTTACTAGTACTTCCTGGTAGGGTAACCTCTAGAAACATCAGATTTAAGACGTCAAAGCAGGGAAATATTAGTCTCAAATATCTAAACGAATTCCACGGGGCCTGAAAGGCAAAGTAATGTATGCTCCTGCTACAAAACGACGGCCTGTAAACAGTCTGGACCAGACAATCAAGTGATCAGTACCACTGAAAATCAGTCATGACCCAGGTGCTGAAACACCCATTGATCACACAATAATCAATAGAAAGGTGAGGCGGTGGGGTAGTCTAGTGGTTAAAGCGCTCGCTCGTCACGGTGAAGGCCCGGGTTAGATTTCCCACATGGGTCCATATCAATTAATTGTTACTTTACGACACGTATTCCAGTGTTTGCACTGCTTCATTATGATTAAAGTCATGGGTGTGCCATACATATATTTCTCCCCTTCGCCCCTCTATAACATGATACTCTATGTTCATTTTCATTTCCTATGTCCGTTGTTTTATCATGTTACATATCCACCTATACATGTATCATTACAAGGACACCGAGCGTGCCTGGTGTGAATAAATCAAGAAATATATATTTCTTTGTTTGTCTTCTTTAAATATACCTGTATATCATAATTGGGAGGCGGGGTAGCCTAATGGTTAAAGCGCCCGCTCGTCCCGCTGAAGACCCGGGTTCGATTTCCAACAATATGCGAAGCTTATTCCTGGTGTCCCCGCCGTGGTATTGCTGAAATATTGCTTAAAGAGGTGTAAAACTAAACTCACTCACTCACTAGAAAGGTGGTGCCAGCGAGAATGGAGGTGTGCACATTTCTTGTGAAGTTTGAAGCAAGGAATAGCGTCACGTATCCTGTTGACGAACAGTGTGTCAGATTTGGTTAATATCGCTGGATGTCTCCCATAAATATTCTTAAATGACGTATGAAAACGTTTGATGGTGTAACCGTGACTGAACCGCTTATTTCCACGACATTTTGAACACCCTAAAAATAAAGTAGATCACAGGAAATGTTAGTACACGTAAACCGGCATTTACAAACTATACACGAATTACTAGGAGAAAACAGGTTTTAACCGCTATAAGAAATATTCCAGCAATATTACGACAAATAACACATGACATGGACTTCACGCGTGATCTGCCAGATGTGGGTAACCGAAACGAGGCCCTTGGCGGGGAAGCGAAGGCGCATGCAATCATGATTGGAATCGTACAAGCAACTCTGCTTTTAACAGCGATATCTTATGGATATGAAAAGGGTTTAGTTGCCATGTGTATAAACCACAAGAAATGGGCTCACACGTGTTGTGATTTTGTAGGGAATAGAACCCGGACCTATGGTATGGCAAGTAAACACGTTACCCACTACACTACCCAGCCGCCGGTTCTGATCCTCACAGAATATCCAGTCCATATTTGTGGTGTGTTGTATTCAGTGTGTGATTTTTTTGTGTGCGATATAATCATTTTTCAATCAGGAATCTGAACATGTTTTTGGAGACCCACAACATAGGCATTTGTTTTCAACCATTTCCGAGAACAGAATTTTAACAGAGCTACAGATTGGGATATTGAGTTCAGTACTCGCTTGCGTTCATCTCAAATGGGTATCCTAATTTTCCTTTGAGTAACCAAATAAATTGTGACTCACCTCACTCAAACTCAATTGTGTTTTTGCCATTTTCCATTTATTGAAAAATTTAATAAAGCTTTATTGTTGGTTTACGTGTTTGTTATTTATATTTGATCTGTAACATGAGGAACGATAAGAAAGACTGCATGTTGCCAAGTTCATGTGTTGAAACAGAACCTATCAATATACCTCAGTTATTTTATCAATCCACCGTTTATCAATCTGTACCTCTGAATATTGTTACAGTAATAAATTGTAACTAACTCATTGTTACACTCACATACACACTGAACATCCAACCAATCCCTCAGAATACCAACTGTTCAGCAACTTGTATCTCTTCCTTGAGACTTCAACAATTGTGGGGCACGTTCCAAAACCGGAAATTCTCAAGGCTTAAAATCGGAAATACCAACATTGTCCCTTTATTCGTTCATATTGTCAACATTATTTTTCGAGGGAACAGTTTTTTGCTTCTACTGAAGCGTGTAAGGGCAACTATTTTTAACATCACTTTCATCAACGTAGAAGATACTTTCATCCACGTAGAAGATACTTTCATCTCCGTAGAAGATACATTTATTTAAGGGAGCTACTTCCATTTACGTATACGTCACTTTCATCAACGTAGAAGATACTTTCATCAAGTTAGATATTCAACATATTTTAGATTGTGACACTAATACGTTTCCATAGGCTACAGCAGAAGCCAGGGAGTAGAATGTTGTCCAAGACACTTGTACTAATCTTCGATTGTTCTTCAATGGGATTTCATATGATAATGGTGAGTGACATAGTCGATGTTACGTGTCATGGCAGATATTACTGCATAGCCAACGAATATAGACACTGTGTTTATTGCCATGACGTGTGTAAAACATATTTTATTATTTAACTCATGCGTATGTTGTGTTGAATAATTTCGATGAGTATATGATTGTGTTCTGGACCACCCTTTATGCGGACGACCCACAGATATAAGTGGCCATTATGTGAGCAAGTGAGTGAGTGAGTTAGTTAGTTTAGTTTTACGCCGCTCTCAGCAATATTCCAGCTAAATGGCAGCGGTCTGTAAATAATTGAGTCTGGACTTGACAATCCAGTAATCAACAGCATGAGCATCGATCTAAAACAATTGGGATACGATGACATGTGTCAACCAAGTCAGCGAGCCTGACCACCCGATCCCGTTAGTCGCCTTTCACGACAAGCATGGGTTACTGAAGACCAATTATAACCCGGATCTACACGGGTAATGAGTGGGTGAAGTTTGCACCCTTTTGAACAGTATTGAAGGCGCGACAGCTCTGTGTTATAAGAGGAAAGCCGTGGACGCAAGTATGGTCAATATATCTCCTGTAAATACTAAGGTGATACCTAAGGATCATGACGAGCACGAATCTTGGACTAGACCATGTGGGCATAGGATCGGAAAGGAATTAACACCGTTAAATTGCGGTTACATGAATAGACAGTGACCACAGTGCGGAATATTCTGTCAATATAAATCGAGTTTCCCTAATTGATAAAGCAATTATATTTCAGTTTGCAAATGAAATCTATTATTATATAAGTTCCTCATGCACATTTCGCCTTGTCACAGAAAACACGGAGTAAGAAGTTGATTTGTTTATTGATTCAGTTCCTTATACAAAAGTACCGCTACCAGATAACAGCCTCTGAAATGATAAAAACAGTTTTGTTACCATTTATTAGCTCTTACCTTCATAGATACTGAACATTTTCACGAACTGAGATTTCGTCTGTTTTGTGAGAAAGCTTATCCATATTAACATGTTCCTGGAACATTATTTATTGATACTTAGTGACAAGCACTGTTCTTCAGATTTAAGCTTACACCGTACAAGTCTTGTTTATCCATGGTGATGTCCATGGCCGTGTCCGTGACCATGTCCGTGTCCATGGTGACCATGTCCGTGATGACCATGACCGTGCCCGTGTCCATGGTGACCATGCCCGTGTCCGTGATGACCATGTCCATGTCCATGGTGACCATGGCCGTGTCCATGGTGACCATGGCCGTGTCCATGCCCATGTCCATGGTGACCATGCCCATGATGACCATGCCCATGCCCGTGATGACCATGTCCATGCCCGTGATGACCATGACCATGCCCGTGATGACCATGACCATGTCCGTGATGACCATGTCCATGCCCGTGTCCATGGTGACCATGTCCGTGACCGTGCGCGTCACATAGAGTTAACGCAACCATGCACCCTGAAAACAGATATTAACATGAGTGACACTGAATCCTTAAATCTTCTAGCATACGCTTTAGGAACATATACTCTTCTGTATCCTAACCGTGTTCGTAGGACAGTTGCAGTAAAACAAAATGAGTAACTTACCGATCGCTAGAAGCAACAAAACTGTTAAGTTGTTCATTGTGTAACACGCTGTACTGGCCTTCCTATGGTGGGTATCACGAAAACAGAAGTCTTTATATACGGTAAACTGCATTGGTCATGGTCGATCATCAAAAAAAAGCGAGACGCATCTCAGCAGGACCACAACGGTTTTAGAAGAAGGTGGCGACCCCTCCACCACGTCACAGCTGGGGGTCCAGTAATACCTATGTATGTAACAAATTTAAAATGAATGCCGATATTAAATTTATATTTCTGATCAAATGGTAAAATTTGAATAGTTGATAAAATGTTTTACACAGAAAAAAGCACCATTTCTTCTGTTATCTGCAGTGATATTACCTGAGCATTGCTAAAGAGTGAGTTATTTTTTTACGAGTCTTTTAGCAATATTCCAGCAATATCAAGGCGAGGTAACCAGAAATGGGCTTCACACATTGTACCCACGTGGGGAATCGAACCCGGGTCTTCGGCTTGACGAGCGAACGCTGTAACCACTGGGCTACCCCGACGCCCCATTGCTAAAGAAAGAGGTGTAACCATGCATGTAATTTAGTAATTTAAAAAAACTGAAATGAATGCCTATATATTTTGTTCAAATTAATATATTTGATCAAATGTTTCCACAAAATGGCCCATTTCCGGTGATAGTGTCATATTATTGCTGAAAGCGGCGTAAAACCTACTCATTCATACTTATCCATTACAATCCAACGCAGCATGGTGTGACGGTCACGCAGAGTGTCGCCATGGTGTAGCCCCTCTATCGCTCTTGGGGATGTAGTGGAAGTCACGCACCTACGGTCAACAATCACCAGGTACAGCAGGAGGCTGTTTCAGTCAGTTCCTTTTGGTTTCTATTTTACACAGGTTTTACCCACGTTTGGTTATCACAAAGTGTGGGTGATTCTATCATGTTTAAAATTATATTCAAACAACGGTTGAAAGATATTGATTTCCAAAATTGGCATAGTTTTATGTCATCTTCGCACTATTTAAGTAATTATAGTAAGTTAGTAACTGGGAATGAGGCAGTTTGTATTCCCCATTTATAGAATAAAGGAAAAGTCAAAATAATTATGTCTGAACATTTAATGCACCAAAACTAAAACAAAACAGTAAACCAAATGAAAAATCCCCCACACTGTACATTCACCGAAAGTGTGAGTGATAACTTAGCTTCTATGAATGAATGTCTTCCCGATAATGGAAGCTATTTCTAAATAATAACTTTTAACCCCTGGCTGGAGCTCTGTATGAACGTCTTTGTCCCTCAACAATATGTCTAACTATCTCGCCGGTGTTAATACTGATTAGCGCTGTCGTCAGCTATGACCACGAAATGCAAGAGATTTTAAAACCCACGTGCATATACGCATAGCGACGGGTGTATTCGGGCGTGCTGAACCAAGCTAAAAACGAAAACATCTATTTCCTTCTGTTCAGTAACATTAATTCTTTCTTTCAGCCTTTCAGACATTTTGAATGTTCACATTCACCAATAAATTCAGCATTAAACATTCCAGGGCCATACTTGAACAGTGGTTTTTTTTAAAATGAGCAATCATCTTCATAAAATCAATATGGATTCCAATCATTTTATCGTTTTTATGAGTCAAAAGATGTTTTTTCATCGTGGTCACCACGAGAAGTTTTATGTACGAATCTATCATTGCAAAAATCCAGGGGTGCTTAATTAAGTTTATCAATTATCAGTTCGACAACCTGCCGATTAACTGTAAATAAAAGGGACGAAGACAATTTCCACAATAATGAAAATCTCTGCTAAAACCAGTGTTTTTGAATCACAGTCAAACCGTCATGAACCATTTGTTCGCGTTCCCTCTCAACCTCTGTCACACGTCACAAAGACATGTAAATGCAAGTCAACTGTTCACCTAAACGCCCCTATCATTATTACACGTGTGTTGTGCCCTAAAACCTACTCATGTTTATTTCATTCGTAACTACTCGCCTCTTTCCGCGACCTACAAGAAGACTCGTACCCCTATCGTACGCCATTATTGCCAAGAATCGTGGCAAACCAATCAAATCGCGCGTAGTAAAACGCATTTCGAAGCATGAAAATGGCGGCACCGTTGAAGTTTGAAACTTCGCTAAACTATTCAAAGCACAATTTAATAATATACTTTGAGCTAAAGGATCAGAAACTTTAAACACTGAAACGTATTTACAGAGGGAATGACTGTATTGCTGTTTTGCCCACGGGATGTAGGATATTCTAGAGCCATGTTTGGAAATTCAGAGTTATCTTTCATTGGTGATAGTACTAGACTATTTTCATACCAATGCCCGTTTGCGCTTAGTCAGGGCCCAGTCGTAAACATGGCCACGAGAGGGGTACGAGACGCCATCCGGCTTGCCGGAATGACACGAGTAGTTACGAATGATGTTTATTTATGATTACTGTGCACTTAAGACCATTGTAGGTTTAAGGGCACAACACACGTGATCCAGTACGATTGTGTATCACTGAACCTCAATGACGAGACTCGTTGCTCATGTGCCAAAATGATTTGCGTCATTGACTATTCGTTTTGTTCCTGTTTCTGTAAAATATGTGCGTGTGGTTGTTAGATGTTGGCGTTGTGTAGGACATGCTTGCTAGTTAGTCACACACGCGCGCACGCACACACCTCCACACCCACTACCTCCGTACATCACAGGAGAAAACGATCTCGATCGTATGCTATAACTGTGACATACTAGTAGAGCTGTGACGATATATCGTAGTATCGATAATCGTGATACTTTATCTGACGATACATATATCGATTTTCGTATCGTGATATGTATCGTTGACGTTAGAATTTCTATTTTTCACTAGAAATTGATGAGTATGTCCCAATTTACACTGTTACTTGCTATCAAAATATGCTTTTTTTTAAGGAAATAACTAAAGGTAGCATATCGTGATATGCATCGAATCGAATCGTATCGTTCCAAGATATCGCGATATGTATCGTATCGTGAAATTTCTGCATCGTCACACCACTACATACTAGGCTGGTTGTATGGCTGGTTTCAGATGGATCGGGTTACATTCTACACAGTCACATTTGTTCTCTCTATAAAGTCATTGTTAGCGTGGCTGTCTCGTGATTTATTTATACCTTTTCTGTATTGATCAATGATATATTGGTGGCATTAATGGATATAACAAGGACTAGCTGGCTCGTAGTCAGTATAATGTGTCTGAGTGGGGCATTCATGCTTAACTGCGGCCTGGTATCTCAGTGAGCTGGCACTATAAAACCGACTAAAGTCGGGGCTAGTACAAGCAGCCACACATACACATACACACGCAAGGACGTCGTCATATGAACGAAATATTCTTAAGTGCGACGTTAAACCCCATTTCACTTCACCTCTTGAATTAAAAAGGCGAATGAAGCGTACGTACAAGGGTAGAGAGAAGAAATGTAAGTCGAACTGCATGATACATATACTTACGTAAAAAAGTAACTGTGCATGACAGAAAAATTGCATAATAAAAGCTGTTTGAAATGTTATTAAAATAACAATAATAAACACGTAGCAAAACACTTTGGCACCACATCTCTTCCAGGGCGTGTCACGATGCCTCGTGTCATATACAGATTTCGATTTTATGCTGTCAACTTCTAAACAGTGATTAAGGAAAACACCACAAATCATGTTGTCATCTTTTTGCATTAAATAATGGCATGCCTTCAAATAATGCACAGTTACATTATTGCAGTAGTACTTAACAGTTTGCAAGCAAATGTGCAATATTCATTATGCTTTATGCTTTATACCGAAGACTGAATCAATACACAGACAATATTTGTGCCACCATGTATACAAAACTGGCTTATACGCAATCGTCGGGTATCTCTAACTTTAACTCCAACACCCACCCGTGTGGTGACTGCGGGGGAAGATGCGGGAAGCACGACCAGGAGGAGAGAAGGGCGTTCCCGAAGGGAATAGTGAGCCTCGGAGATGATGCAACGTCAGGAATTCATTCAACAGCCTCCACACTTCAGTTTCCTGGCATTCTAAACAAGTCTTCCTGGTAGGTCACCTCCAGGAAGGCCGGACTTATTAATGGCCAATATTATGCTTATTTGCTTATAACAATCAGCTGCGTGAGACTGTTAAGGTTAAACGTAGTGAACGTTTGTTGCCCTGCCAGGACAATATATACCCGTCCATAGGTCTTTGTCATCTTGGATACATTTCGACCCGTGAAGATCCGGGGTAGAATAGGTCTTCAGCAACCGATGCTTGCCACAAAAGGCGACTATGCTTGTCGTAAGAGGCGACTAACGGGATCGGGTGGTCAGGCTCGCTGACTTGGTTGACTACATGTCATTGAATCCCCATTGTGTAGATCGATGCTCATGCTGTTGATCACTGGATTGTCTGGTCCAGACTCGATTATTTACAGACCGCCGCCATATAGCTGGAATATTGCTGAGTGCGGCGTAAAACTAACTCACTCACTGAACGACTGAATGAATATGATTTTACGCCGCTTTTAGCAATATTCCAGCAATATCACGGCGAGGGACACCATAAATGGGCTTCACGCATTGTACCCATGTGGGAAATCGAACCCGGGCCTTTGGCGTGACGAGCGAACGCTTTAACCACTAGGCTACCCCATCGCCCGGCTTTGAGTACAGTTTCTGTTGTCACAAAATGGGGCATCGTCAAAATCCCAAACAGTGTTGACGATGACATCATTTCTGCTGTGGAAAACGTTTTCATCAACACGAAAACACAGTGGGACCTAGGCACTCTGGCATCGTCTACCATAATACATTCCGAAAACAAATCTGATGCCTTGACTGCTGTCACCCTGATCAAAATTGAGTGAGAGTTTTACGACGCTTTAAGCAATGTTCTAGCAATATCACTGCGGAGGACACCCGAAATGGGCTCCACGCATTGTACCCATGTGGGGACTCGAACCTGGGTCCCCGGCGTGACGAGCGAACGCTTTAACCACTATGCTACCCCACCGCCCCTTGATCAAAAGCCTTTGAGTACGTCTCGTATGACGCTAATTGAAATCTTTGTTGAAAGACAACTATGTGACCTCGTCCTGTTACAGGAACGTACGTTGTAGATCCTGATATCCGTGATACCATACAACAGGTATGTTACAACCATATCAACATGCATCAATATCATAGCCTTCGGATTTCCGGATATAGCTAACGTTATGGTAAAAATTATAAATAGTTAGAATTTATACATCGTAATAACGTTATCTGGATATGTCTAGTATGTGTTTGCTCGCTTTTTCTGATTATAAAATACATAAATGATTGTAAATATAATGATAAAAAGCAGCGCGTAACAAAACAATAACATTGAAAATTGAGTTTATTTGAATACCAATGTTTGGTTTTGTACAACAGATATTCATGTTCGCATGCGCATACTATTGTTATTACACGTTTTTGCGAAATTGTTTTATGGGATATCTGACATTAAATATGTAAGACATAACATAGTGGAACGTAGACAACATATGCCTAAAAGTCGCATTACGCCCTTGGAGATCTTCGACCTTTTGCTGAACATAGACGCTTCTATGCAGTGTACATACATTTCTGATTTGCCGAAAAGTGTGTTGTGTTCATTAATGGAATTCGAAGTCATGAATTCGTCCGGGACCAACCATGACTTTGCTTGAGTTCTACGTGCCTGGAAATAGTCAACACCTTGCAGATAAAAGTTGTATTTATCAAATAATTATGTGAAATGACAGGTGTTCACTCTACTTTATGTGTAACTGAATCATTGAAGACTTCAACATTTGAAATCGAATGAGTTTATTCAAGGTGCACTGGCTGGTTCGGCTGATTCAGCTGCTTCAGCCTGATTTCTAAACTGCTGCATTCGCTGCCTCGCCAGCCTATATTGCTGGAGTTGATGATTCCAACCTGAGAACAACAAAATATCAAAAATAAAACAAATACGTTATTCTTACGAAGCAGATATATTGAAAAAAACCCAGCTAGTTCTTTCCCTTTTTTCATCAACAATTATCTTTCATATATGTAATTGAGAATTTTTGCATTTATTTTATATGTATTTTCCGATTAGATTGACGTTCAAATTACATTATAGGCTTAGAAGTTTTTAAAATTAAACATGGTATTATAAAATTTAAACATATATCAACATAATCCAGCACCATTGCTAATTATAATTATACAAATTATATCACACATTTGAAGGGGGGCACCAAATGCACTGTTAATATGTTAATAACCCTCTTTCCCTTACATCAATGTGCGAATTAAGACAAGCGATTCATATCAGAATCAGAGTAAGCAACACAAACACCAAAGTGAGTGAGTGATTATAGTTTTACTCCGCATCAGCTGTCTTGCAGCTATTCGCGACAAGGAGACCAAACAGAGAGTTATTCTTGTAAGAATCCATCTGCAACATACCTTTAAAACTTGATGTTGTTCATGTTAACATACTATTTATCATTTAAGATACGCTTTGCCAAAATTAATGAGAGAAGATAAGTTTGAATGTCGGACAGTGTTAGCTAGATATCATCAGGCATCAGTAAACTGGCTGAATGTCTTACCTTTCACTTACGTAAGAGTTTTTCCGCCATGGAAAACAAGAGCCACCAGATGATGATCCCCCCCCCCGGAGAAGAAATCATCTGACTGTTATTTTAAGTCAGACTTGATTGTTTTAGATCGTTTCCATGGGAATCATGAAAAATATAAATGCCAAAATCTGCAAATAGCAAAAGGCACCATTTCAAGATCTGTTTGATATATGTGCCAAGTTTTGAAAGAAATGCCGGAAGCGCATCCCTCCCTTTTGAGACAAAGTCCTAATCGTTTCCAAGGAAACAGAAGAAAATATAAATGCCAAATATCAGCAAATAGCAAAAGGCAGCATTTGATGATCTCTCACATATATCTGCCAAGTTTTATTGATAGATAGTGAGCGTTTTTTTGTGTTTCCACCCCTTTTCGTCTCCAAACTGTTTCCATGGAAACCGAGAAAAATAGAAATCCCAAAAATCTGTAAATAGCGAAAGGCACCACTTTAGGTTCTGTTTGATATATCTACCAAGTTTTGCTGAACTATATTGAACGGTTTTTGAGTTATGGTCCGGTTACGGACAGATGGACAGACGAGGCGTTGACAAGGTTCCCCCGCGAGGATAAAACCCCACAAAAATATCGCGATTTATGATTTTTCACGAATAAACGTTTTTACGTCTTTATCTGACATAAATAATTTAACGCTGGCGAGGAACCAAAGTGCAAACTGGACACCTACTACACGTGTGTCGACATGAAACATTCCATTGCGCCTGTGGTCGACATGTTGCAGCAACAAAAGTTGATGCACCCAATGATGAAGGAATTCATCTATTCGACTGAAATTGTTCATGAGAAATAATACAGAGTTACAACAAAAGAGTGACGTCACAAGAATTATTTACCTTCAATGCACGTTCTCCTTGTGTGGTATCAAATATTCCAATCACATGTTAGTATTAGTACACTATAATATATACAACATGCACATATTCAACAGTGATAGTTGGTCGTTAGTATCTTTCAGGGTATCCCACTCAACGTTTGATAGAGACACCGAGATAACCCATGCTGTTATCAAAGTCTCAGTGTAACTATTTTCTATTTCATCTTGAAATAAAGTTCATGGAATACAGCCGCTTGACAACTTCAATTAGTTACATACTATTCCCAAATTGTATTAAGGTACATCCGGGATTCGAACCGACACACTCAGAGTCAGGTACATAATCTCCAGCACACAAAGTCAGCCATCTAACCGACTCAACCACTGTGGTTTCTACCAAATATAACATGTGTTACATTTGATTGCTTTCCTATGGATGTATTCATATTATACTTAAAGGTGGTCACCGGTTGTATGGCGTTTAGCCGTTAGCGAGCACACATTCTATATGAAAGATAAATTTGACGTACATAAGTACATATAAGGTTTTCTTATCAAGAAATGTACCTAATCCATTTTTATACAACTAAAATCCCGTTAATTCGGATCGTAGTGTCCACATGAAATTTCCCGGATTAACACGCTTACAAAGTACCTTTTCTGCAGTGAATTCGCATTACCTCTGACTGTATCGTCTACGAAAAATTACTTCCCGGAAGGCGGTCTTCAGATTCCTTGTGCCCGAAATACATAGATTTCACTGTACAGGAGTCTGTCCTTCAAAACTATAACCACCTAAGTTCAAACGTATAACCTGTTTCCAGTATCCGCAAACACGCTTGAACGTAATATGAGAAGTGATGCGAGTTGTATGATGGATCACTGGTGATCAGCATTTCGGGGCATTGTCTCCATCAGCGTTTGATGGTGTTACGATATTGTGAAATAATATAGACTCAGACAGTAATGTTCCTCAGTGGTAACTCGTCTATCCGCATCAGATGTTTAATTCACACAAATAGGAGTGTGTAAACAGGGTTTTGAACTAACAGTCAAGCATTGAGAGGGCAGGAACTTTAAAAATAGTTTTCAAATTTGTTTACCCTGGTGTAAGAAATCGTTCCTTAATGTTTGTATGAGTGAGTGAGTATGGTTTTAAGCCGCTTTTAACAGTATTCCAGCAATATCACGGCAGGGAACACCAGAAATGGGCTTTACACACTGTACCCATGTGCATGATTAAAATAACAAAGATAATATACAGGATTACAGAATCACAATAGGATTCATGTATTGTGTCAGTGGCGCTGGAGGTGGATGCTCTTGTCATAGTATCACAAGGAGGAAATTGTGTAAAATCTCTTTATTGCATAAATTACAGTCATGTATGTAGTTGTTGATAGCATCGTGTGTATACATATCCTTCTCCACATCAGACATGATGCTTAACTATGACGACACCATACCATAGAACAAGCAATTAAATAGAAATAGCTAGTTATGACCATATCATCAGGTATGTGTTCATACAATGGTATACTAACTTTTAACATATTTTAATCATTCGGGGGATTATTTCACGTTAACAAATCCCTATTCACTAATTGTGAGGAGGTCGAAACCTAACAAAACCTATGTTTCATAAACGTGTGATGGGTTGTGTTATTTGACTTTCTTGGGGAATAGGATGCAAAGGTGAGTGTTCATTTTAGCTGAAGTTATAAACACTCTTCAAGAACACGTACATTTCAAGCATATATGCTGACATTAGAATTTCAGAATTGTTAAACATCCGGAAAATCTTAAATTCAAATCAGCGACAAAATTGAAGTACAGGTGTTTATTTCACAAATGAATGCTATTTTCAATGAAAATACATTTCAAGTTTATTTCCACAGCATAACCAACCATTGAAATTCCATGGAACGGTTATGAGATTGAATTTATCAGTGTTCCTAGTCATTGATTGTCATTCAGTTGTGTCCGATTCCCATCGTGTGATACATTCGGATAATTCCGGTCGCACTCGTTACTTCTTATGGCTCCGGTAATCCTTCGACCTGTTCCGAATGTCAAAGAAGACGGTGGATTCCTATGCAGCGGCACCTGCAGCGGCCTGTGCCTCGGCTGCAGCGGCTTGTCTTTCAGCCTGCGCCATTCGCGCCTTCACGCGCTGTACTTGTGTCATCTGCTGATTGAATGCTGGAAACACGACATATTGATACATACCATGCAGAGAATAAATACAAAACGGCGAATCACAGAATGTGTCTGTTTAATTTTCCCCTGACATGTAGCAAAATGTTGGTTGATTGGTTCTTGTTTAACGCCGAACTCAGCAATATTCCAGCTATATGGCGGCGGTCTGAAAATAATCGAGTCTTGACCAGACAATCCACTGTACAACTTTATGAGCATTGATCTACGCAATTGGGATACGATGACCATATGTCAACCAAGTCGGCGAGTCAACCACCCGAACCACAGTCGCCTCTTAGGACAAGCATTGGTTGCTGAAGACCAATTCTAACCTAATTGTTCACGGATCCAGCACCAGGTCAGTCTACAATCCACTAAATGGAGAATCCTAGATCACGTCTGTCTACACCCTGTCCCAACTAGCTGCAACACGTCACGTGATTTCAAGCAGACGCAAAACACACCAATTTGGGTACCTATATAACTGAAGGCCTTGAAGGGCTTGGAACTACTTCAAGTATGTGCTGTGTGCATTGATCCATCCATTTAACCAAACTGTAGGAGGTTCGGACATTCATTGAACATCTTTAATCTGTTTGTTTTATTTTGATTTGACTTAGTTCCTCTAGAACATTTTTATATATTTTATACAAGAAAGTGTATACTCATTTTCACTTTGGGATTTGTTGGAAGCATTTGATGGTAAGCCATTGCTGTTTCATGATTTGAGCTGTTACTCTCGAACACCAATCAGGGATATACGTTTTTTTCAAGTTGGGAGAACATTATACAAACGGCAATGCCAGAGAATAATCACAATCCAATATCTGCAGAAAGATTTTGTTTGGCGTAAACTGCTAAATAGTGGTCGGAATTCATTTAATGGATCTCTATTAATAAGTGACGACACAAGATGTTCGTCAAAAAGGGTAAGCATGTTCTTCTCTACTGGTAGCACCTGGCGCTTTAAAGCCGCGCTCATATAATTTACATAGTTTTTATATACCGTTGGGCCTCATTCTTTTATAGATAACCACTTTTTATTGTTTCTAACGACATTTCAGGACATCCTCTTCCATTAATGTCAAAGGTAATAACTAGGGATAAACGTAGCATAAAGGCTCTTTTACGTGTTTCCCATATGGTCATATTTGTGTGAAAGTGACCGATGTACTTGGCTGACTTACATGACACACGTGTTAACATGGCCATATATCTTTCCTAACCGGAAGTCACGTTATTCTACAGTTCATGACCGCTGGTGAATTATGGGAGACTATTCAGAATACAAATCCAGATGAAGGTGATATAGAAAGTTGTAAACTATTTTCGTGACCAATTTCATATTTTGCTTGCCAACAAGGATTCATAATGTGTGTCAGATGTCAGCGAAAATAACACAATACGAGAAATACCACATCATTCATAAGAGAAAGAGCCATTTTGGCCTACATTAATGGCAGCATTGGGAACGACAGGGCATAAGTATTTTTCTTTCAAAATGAATAAAACGACAGGAATGCGCGAACGGATAGGTCTTAAGGTCATTAAGGAAATGCGCAGATACGCTAGTACATATGTCATGGGAGGGAAGGAATAAGAATAAGAAGAAACAGTAAGAAGACACATGTACATATATGTCAGATGTAGGAATAAGAAGATATTTATGAATATCTGCAATATCGGCCATAGAAGTGAATTAAAAGCAACACACGAACATTACACATTGACTGGAATTAGTACACATAGACAGAAATAGGTTGGCACACAGCCATGTGTCGACGTTGCTTGCATATAATTTCACATTACACATATACATACACATACACGCACCCCCCTCTAAATTGTTCAAGGGGTTGTTTTAACCATCTGAGGTGAACTAATTTCTTTTTAATGTGGAAATGAAAAGGCTTCAAGACATCAACATCATAAACCCAATATGCCGCATGTTGACGAAAATCAACAAGCCCGGAGGAGATCCCCTTGCATGACCTCTTCTATTGTACCTATCTCAAGTTACTGCCCTTGTTTCACTGACATTCACGTCACTCACACGTTCCTATTTATCACCTGCTGTCGGCGGGTTCAGCCTTGTCTATTTTTTCATGGCCGGTAAAGCAAAAAACACATTCCAAAGACCGGTATGAAGAAATTTGCATTATGTAATTCTCACAGATGACGTATTTGTAACTCGTAAAGGCGAGAATTTATGGATGTCAACTTCTTTATTTTGTGTTAATCAAAAGATATATTTATATCTCCTTCCATTCAATTTGGATTTCAAGAAACGATACATAATTTTGTTGTTATATCCTTGTATTAAAAATAGACATCATGACGAATATGATGTTAATAGTTATGACGATGGGATAGTTAATTTTTGTAGTTTTATATAACTCCAAGGACAAGAAGGACAAAAACAGGGCCAAAAATATATGCATTCTCAATCATCACGATTTAGCCCCATGTAACCACAATAAACCGCCAGCTGATGACAGCTTGGCATGCTACAGGAAGTAAACCGCTTTTTGTCATGCAACGTGATGTATGAGTGACAGCCTCTTTTATACATCTATGAGTGTTTGGATTGGGGAGACATCGTGGATTAAGATAACAGTTATATCTTGAGAACTGTGTCACGAAATATAATATGTGAATTTTAGCACAGTACATTACAATATGTATTTAATTTCTTTAAACACATCACAGACACATTATGATGGTTTTGTGGAAAATATCATAAACGAGGTTTTTTTTACCGCAAACCATTAAATTATGTTTTAGACAGGACAGATGTTTTTGCAAAACCAAGACTGTTTTTTTTTGTAAGAATACCTGACAAAACCATTTTGGTTCACAAGCGTAAATACTGCTTATCTTTCAAAAGCTGCCTTGTCAGCCCCACGTCCCCGCATATGCAGAATAAATAACACACATTATACCCAGTTTGGGCATCATACCCGGGGCTACGGCACGACGAGAGCATGCACACCCAACAACATCTGACGGACGGACTATTGTAGGTAATGACGTACTAATGAATATATATGGATCATGCATAATTCCATGGTAGCGACATACATGAGGAGAGACTTTGGATCCATGCATATATAATCATGAAAAGTATATATCTTGATATTTTCTCATTGTTACTTCCAATATGATATGCAGTTGCAACAAAATGCCATGCACTACAATACTAAGAGAATTCTGAGCAACGTGTTCTTGTCCCCCAATGACAATACAAAAAAGAAGGATAAAGCAACCCAACATTCAAACACAAGATTTAGACAATTGAAGAAAGCTCTTTTTCAGCCTGGATAACTATTGTTTTATGCAGAAAATGTCGACTGACGACTGTTTTCAAAAGGTCAAGCCTCGGCTGACATTTTTGCCAGGAATATTTCCAACCATGGATGCGATATGTTAAAATGGGTGGATCATTATGCATTCATAATGTCATACAGCGTTTGGAGAGATGGGACAGTTCTGTTTCGAGTAATTCCAAAAGTGAATGAAAGAATGATACGAAAATCAAATAATAGTAACAAATAAACAAGTAATAATTTACAAACTTGAATATTTTTCATGCAATTCGGTTGTCATATCATTGAGGTTTGTGTAAAGAATAGGACATACGGAGACAGAAAATCAAAACAAGGCATAATATATAAGTGAGCGTAAGTGTAAGTGGAGCGTAGGAGTGTAAGTATTGGGAATATCACTTACTTTGCCAGAAGGATGGCGGGTTGTAAACAGTCCATGGACGGGAGGTTAATCTGAACCACTCGTTCTTGATTTTCACAATGGCTCTGCAAGGAAAAAACATAAGAATATTAATAATAACAGTGCATATTTATAATGCGCACATATCCACGCTCGTAAGCATGCTCATGACTCTAGCACATTATTATTACGGATAACCTAAGCTGCCTGTTAGGCGCTAGAGTGTCACATGACACATCCCACCGGGTACCCATTTTCTGCTGGGTGAACACATATTAGAATGATCGATGAAGGCCACCTGTTTGTTTTACATAATGATCCTGACATGAATATAACCATAACCTGTCGAGCCCGGTTGGATCGTGGTAGGGCTGTAACGATGCATCCAACTATGGATAGATTGCAAGTGTTGAGTCTCCATAGCAATTAATCGATGGTAGAAAAAAGGAAAACTATCGGTGCATCGATGGTATGTGTGACTATCGATAGTTTAGTAACTGACTTTTGTTGATAAATGCGCAGCGCAAAATACAAGATGTTTGGGTGCAGACTTGCAGCTTCATTGAGTTTATGTTTTAACTGTTTACTTGATCTGGGTTTCAAGGATCTTGTCAGTAATTAAAAGAGACTGAACTACTTCAACTTAATTTTATCGCATATTAACTATACGTTAATTTGGGAAATAACTTCAAATGAGACATATCAAGGAGAGAATAAACTATTGCAGTAGTATTGCCATAGTTGGTCGCACTAGACTATCGCTATCGCAATAGTATGTTTCAATAGACTATCGCTATCGCTATAGTTGTTTGCCCCTCAATAGTCGCCCCTAGATCTTGGACACCTCACGTGTCACTATTCTGCTCCATCGATCACTTGATTGTCTGGTTTGATTACAGGCTACCGTCGCATGGCCGAACTGTTGTGTGGCGACGAGCTGTGGATATTTACAATTTCCAGGCAAAATGTGTGAATGGCGGGTGCTACCGGTAGGACACCTGTTACTCTTTTCGCGAACACCTGTTTTCATCACTGATTATCAGTGCTCCATTCATATGATTTGTACAGCTATTTTGCCTTTAAACCAAATGGAATCTATTTCTGAGGACCGTCAAAACTACGTGTTCTTATGCACTGACGTTTTATACCATATTGTCAGCGTGAGTTGACAGCACGTCTCTTACTGGCACGCACATTGTGAGTAGCATGTGCTACCGGTAGAGCTGGACGTACTCATCTTTCTTGTGATAGTCCCATCACTGAGTGTACAGTATGCATGTAATACTCTTCCCTGTTTATTATTGTGTGCAACCTTGAACCAGGCTCAGCAGATATACGAGACTAATTAATCAGTGGCGTAAACGTTTTGAATTCAGAGTTAGTCACCTACAATCTATGCTTGTGTTAAGAGACGACCCAAAACAGACTGGGTGTTCCTGTCACTGGTTTTCATGGTCAGGGTTACATTATTCGGAAGTAGATTAGAAATAGGGTTGGAATAATGCTAAATGCTACTGGGAAACACTCACAGCATATGACGTCAATAACACATATATCAGTCGCGGTACAAGAACATATATATAGTATTCTTCTGAACTCGTGAATTAGTGAATTATATGACCCGTCAGTCATTTTGGAGGAGAATGAGTGAGTGTGGCTTTATGACGCTTTTAGCAATATTCCAGCAATATCACGGCGGAGTACACAAGAAATGGCTTTACACATTGTACCCATGTGGGGAATCGAACCCGGGTCTTCTGCGTGACAAAACAAAAGCTTTGCCCCTTTTGGAGCAAAGATTAATGGGAAGCATGTTCGTCTTTTTCACCCCGTATCTGGAGCTAACCGACGCACATTACCAGTAGGCTAAATAACGACAGAATCGGAAAACCGAATATGTGGTTGTAAGACTTACACGAAAACAATCTTCTCCGACTTCATTGCCCCTTCGCTTGGGAACCAGATGAACGCTGCGCTCTTCCTCTGTCTTGAGCCGTAGCGGCGAAGGTTAGGGTCGTTAGGGTAGCGCATTCTGTAAACTTCAAGATGGCGCTCTTCCACGCTCCCTACAGCGTCATAACCCTGAGCTCCGCGGTTACACCTGAATCCGACACCCCCAGCCGCGTAATAAGGGTAGATAGAAAACACGCCCACTGGCCTCCATGGGGCTCCAACTTCAGCGTTGGCAACGGCAGGTTCTGCGTAGATGACGAAGTCGGTGAAGTTCTCGAAACTGTAAATGGAGTTCTCCCACTGGTGGATACGCACTAGAAAAGATTAAATCACATAACGTTACATTGTAAATGAAGCCATAAGGAGCAAATAGAACGGTATTCACATTTCCCATCTAAAATGTTATATTTTGTATGGTAAAAATGCTTCCATGAATCGATGAGTCGTCTTGATGGATTTAGCAAAAGGGTTCCTTCTGTAAAAAATTTTCGTTCTTTGTCTTACCAAGACAAACAGAGACAAAAATGTAAGATTGTCTTAATGACAAAAACTTCTAATGAGAAGCAGTATACATGGCATATAACCCAAACAGACCCGTGAAGATCCGAGATAGAATTGGTCTTCAGTAACCCATGCTTGTCGTAAGTGGCGACTAACGGGATCGGGTGGTCAGGCTCGCGAACTTGTTGACACATGTCATTATATCCCAATTGTGTAGATCGATGCTCATGTAGCTGTAATATTGCTGAGTGCAACCAGCCAACCTTCGTTTTTGGTCAAATGTTACCGATTTTATAACTGGCAGAGGTAGAGTTAAGCTGCGTATCTGCGTAAATTACGCAAATATTTATGTGAAAACTCAATTCCTATTAAGTCTATTGCGTAAGAGTACGCTTGAATTTTTGTAAATACTCAATAGAAGTGATGTTACATGCGTACACACAAAAGTGTCAAATATTAGCTTGCGTACCGGTGGATAGATAAAATAACTAAGGTATATTGAGAGGTTCTGCTTCAGGACATGAACTTGGCAACTAGCAGTCTTTCTTATTGTTTCTCATATTACAGATCAAATATAAATAACAAACACTCACATTTAAACTTTATTATATTTTAACAATTAATGGAAAATGACAAAATACCCAATTGAGTTTGAGTGAGGTGGGTACAATTTATTTGGTTACTCAAAGGAAAATTATGATACCCAATTGAGATGACCACAAGCGAGTACATAACTCAATGACCCCAGAAGTTATCTGCAGCTCTGTATAACCTTATAGACCGTTGTAAAACCAGCATACAGCGTCTGTGAAATATACCTGTCCACACAAGTCAATACTCTGTAAACCAAAGACAAGGAAAAGCTGGATCCGTAACAAGCGAGGCGGCCGTAAAGTGACCTGTGTCTCAAAAGTAAGAGACACCTGACGCTTGACGTCAGCTTGTCTTTGATCAGTCATACTGTAAACCACACGTCCATTAAGCAATGTCAGTAAGGCTTCATGTGTCAAAATTAGCCTGTCAAGTTTTTTGGGACTAAAACGTGACTTCAGACAATTCTCGTAATCCAGTCCATGGCCATGACGAGGTAATAACATCAGACCACTTGGAAGATCGAATAATTACAATGAAGGGTTTATTTTAGGAATATTGACTTACTAGTAGTAAACTGGAGCTTTAGAAATATATCATAGGTTGTAATGCAGATGCTGCATGTGTGCTTCTATTTATTCAATGCCTAACATTTTTATACTGTTCCTGCGTTGCGGGGTTATCTTTCCTTTGACGGTTAAACTAAATATATAGAGTATCTCACCCAAGTGAGATATCAAGAACTGATATCAAGAATAATCAACATGAGTTGATAAACTTACAAATGTCCTAGGCTTGCCGAGGAGATTTTTAATTTTATTAACTCGTGTTGATCAGAAGACACGAGGGTGAGATTCTATTTATTATCAAAATTCACTCTTCTTTAGTTTTTAATGAAAAATGTACATCTCTGAACATGGTTCTGCCATTAGACTTGCAGTGCAGCGATGTCATAGCATTGTGACGTCATCAAGTTCCTGACGTATCCTCGGAGATATCGCTTGATCTCACCCAAGCGATATCTACTGTAAAACACAGTTTTTGATGATAAAACAAAAAAAGTCTCTGTGTTGAATTTATTGTTTTTAGGCTTATATCTCCATTACCGGTTACATAATTAATAGTAAATATTAATACATATATAATCAATTCTGGATGTAATCCCAGATTTACACTATTCAAATAGCACATCAATATTAAATGGCACTGATGATAGCTGTTTTAATCTGCTATATGATAATTATCATACTATTGTTACCAACGTTTTAATTTAAAGGATACGATGTCTTACACGAAAGATTTGAATTGTGAAAAAAACTTTCATTTTAATTGTTGGTGTTTGATACAAGTATTATTGTTACAATTGTTTATATTGCTGAAGTGATTCATTTGCTTAATACTTTGAGAGGTACAGTAGATGTACTTCACATCTGCATTTCCGAGGCCATTTCTGGTGTTCCTCGCCGTGATATTGCTGGAATATTGCTATAAGCGGCGTGAAACCCAAGTCACTCGCTCACATCTACCTTATTGTGTAACTATTTGAACATACCTTAAACCTTAAACGTGTCTTAGGATTTATGGAGTAAAAACCTATAAGTCTGCATAATGTAAATTCTTCTTGTGGGCGACATGTTTGGGAACGTTTGGGAAAACACTATCTAATTAAACTGGCATTATTCCAAAATAGATTCGTTCTTTAGAAAATTTGAATACCGGAGCTGTTCCTCTGAAACTGCACCTACTGGATATTCTTCGAGAATCGCTGATATACTTTTTGGTTTGTTTTAGAGCGAATATGTTTCGACTACTACCTCAAATGATAGCTGTTTATCTCTGAAAGAAGCCGAATACTTTTTTTCAAAAGAACGAACTATTTTGGATTTGTAAAACCTGACACAAATGTTTTGTTTTCAAGAATTATAAGGATGTATGTATAAAATATTTACATATCTTTTTAAAACTGAGGCCGACCGCGAAACTTTCATGTGACTTCTCCATTACTTCATACGGAGTACAAATTTTGGGGGCGGTGGGGTAGCCTAGTGGTTAAAGCGTTGGCTCGTCACGCCGAAGGCCCGGGTTCGATTCCCCACATGGGCACAATGTGTGAAGCCCATTTCTGGTGTCCCCTGCCGTCATATTGCTGGAATATTGCTAAAAGCGGCGTAAAACTAAACTCAGTCAGTCAGTCATACGGAGTCACAATTCTGTGATAAATTAAAGCACACGTTCACCCATGTAGGGAACAACGGTTTGCTGTTAAGGAAAATGGGGGTTTCGCGTAAGTTAAATATGGGCGGCATGGATACCATTTCACGGGTTAAGTTCTATTTCTGTGAACTACATTACAAAACAAATTGACCACACAATAGATCCAGCTCTATGAACCTAAAGGGGGTGCATGAAATATTCCAAATGCATATGACAGACAGAATAACGTAGCACTCACACAGCATTTCAAACTACACCATAATGACAGTTTGTATAGTTTTTCTAAAAAAAATGTAACGAAAACAGTCCTCAAAGAAAAGATTTTTGTTGAACAAAATTCAAATTCTAATTTTGAAATTCTACTTCAGCCAACATTCTTGAGTAGTATAAAATCTACTGAAAGCAAAATATGAAAATAAAATAAAATAATAAAAGAAGTAAAATTCAAATGAAAATACCTTCAATAGGTTTGCCTCTTCTGACATCACTGTGTAATCCTCGAGTAGAAAGCTCGAAAGGTGCCGAATTTTCTGGCCAAAGTGTTGGTCGAGATGTGAGGTACTGGCAAGGTGTTTCGTACCTCATCCGAGGAGTCCGTCTAAACTGGCCATCTACTCCTACACAGACACACAACGCCAGAAGCACACCCGCGAACACTCTATTGAGACTCACCATTTTGAAAGTAGACAACGAAACACGGAAAAAATGTCCTCTTATACCCTCAGCTCTATCTGTCCCCTCCAAGCCCCGCCTACCATCACTCATATGCAAATGAGACTGCCTATGGACAAAACTGGCCTTTGTTTTGTCATCTGACCGGAGCACGAGTAAAATTACTATTGTTATGGAGCTAATCAATCACTCCCGTCAACGTCAACGTCTATCTGACGTGTATTATCCAAGGCAATTAGCTGGACAGTGTATGCGAATCTTAAGAACCTGTGCCGTGCTGTACACTATGGTGAACATCTTAATCCATGTTATATATTATGTAACATTACAACATGCAGCGATTAATGTGAATGTCATGGTTATATGAAATAATGAAGTTGTGACTTGGATCACTGCGAGTCTGTAACATGACCTCAGCTTCTATGGACAGGTTTTGCATAATGCAGAGTGTTAGGCACCGGCTGATCTGTACCAACATGGGAGTAAAATGTCCACGTAGTCAGGATGAACGCCTGGGGCTAAGCCTATATTTTTACCGTAGCATAAGAAAGTGATGAGCGAAAGATGGCATCTTGCTCAGTCAAGTGACTTGACATGTACTTCCAGAAACGTTAACGGAAAAGTAGAACACTCTTTGCGGCTAACGTATGTTCGTGAGGCGTATCTATAAATAAACCTCGTTTTTATGAGAAAAGTACCCATACATGAATAAACGATTGAGAAAAGGAGGCGTGCACACTTCATTTTTACCCGAGTTTCAATGGTCATTTAACAAACTTTCAGCACAAAAGGGGGGGTGCGCACCCCTGCACCCCCCCTCTGGATCCGCCTATGCGATTGGTGATTACATTTCGTAGTATGTAACATTGTTACCTTATATGAGAGAATATAAAATGACGTTTGCTATAGCCATCAAATTTTCTGAATATGTACTATGAAAACTCAGAATGGATCTTCCCCTATGGATATGGGCTGATATGTGTGAAGCCCATTCTTGGTGTCCCCCGCCGTGGTATTGTGGAATATTGCTAAAAGTTAGTGAGTTTAGGGTTACACCGCTTTTAACAATATTCCAGCAGCAATATCACGGCGGGGACACCAGTAATAGGCTTCACACATTGTACCCATGTGGGGAATCGAACAAGGTCTTCGGCTTTACGAGCGAACGCTTTAACCACTAGACTACCGCAACGAATAGCAGAGAGATCCAAATACAAGACGTCATCACCTGAGAACAAACTGCCTGGATCATCATCAACAAAGTGTACACATAGTGGGAGACAAAAGACAACAGCTGTGGAAACTAAACGAACAGTCCACTGCAAATCAGTGATGACGGTAGGTGTTCCCGACAGTGACAAACACGTCCTCATTAAAAGACTCGGGGACATGGTTTATTTCTGTGTTTTGTCACCAAACACGACATCGTCGGGCTCAGACACGACGTATACGGCATACCTTGTGTACATTAGTATATATCTTGAGCTGCACAACAAACAAATACCAGGGTACGTGCAGTGGTTTTATACTGCCCCGGGCTTATAATGTGGGTGAGAGGTGTGTAACTGTACAACTGAAGAACGATGAGGTGGGCTGAAGGCGACAGCGACTGCTTGAACTATTTCTTTCTTCTGTAGTTCCATTTTTTACCTCAAGAGACAATTTACATATGAGGAAATTCGTTCCACATGAGTATTTACCTGTCTTTTTTCTGTACCTGTATATCTTAAATATGAAAGTTCCAATATCAGGATACGCTCTTAAATTATAGGTTTTTAGGTATTTGTTTGTCTTACTTCTACGTTTTTGTACGTTAAAACCCTGGAAGTCTTCAAATGAAAGAAGGCTTAATTAAAAAAGTACACATCTGAACATCACCTCAAATGATGTATAATTCGTCGGGAGGAAAACAATTTTACACCTTCTCCTGTGGAGACAAATTACTTTACTGTAACTTATCACTAACATTTATACCCTAATTTAATCTTGTTCGCATAACATCTCTAAAACACTCATACCATGCTCTCATCTATAATATATACGCCCCACAAAACGTAACATCTGTAAAACATGTATACCACGTTCTCATCTATAAACGTGCCATAAAACGGAACATCTCTAAAACATCTATATCGTGTTCTCATTCATATACGTCTCACAAAACGTAACATCTCAAAACATTCATAACATGTTCACATCTATATTCGCCCCCTACAAAGTAACATCTATAAAATATTTATCCCATGTTCTCATCTATATACGTCCCATAAAACGTAACATCTGTAAAACATTTATACCATGTTCTCATCTATATATGTCCTATAAAACGTAACATATCTAAAACTTTTACACCATGTTCTCATCTATATATGTCCCATAAAACGTAACATCTGTAAAACATGTATACCATGTTCTCATCTATATATGTCCCATAAAACGTAACATATCTAAAACTTTTACACCATGTTCTCATCTATATACGTCCCATAAAACGTAACATCTATAAAACATTTATACCATGTTCTCATCTATATACGTCCCATAAAACGTAACATCTATAAAACATTTATACCATGTTCTCATCTATATACGTCCCATAAAACGT